CCCCCAGACCCCAGCCCCAGCTCACTCACCGCTGTGGCCCTGAAGATTTCATATCAGAGCCCTTCAGGTGTCCATCCTCGCAAGCTACCTGCAGTTCGGACTCCCAGCTTTTAGACCCCATGCTGTCATACCACCTATGGCCACCTTGTAAGTACCACCAACCACTCACCTGTCACTTCAGGGAAGGCTTATTCATTTCAAGCTGCTCCTTCTAACATCAACTTTCATCTTTGGGAATGACCCCTCCTCAGCTTTGCCCCAATCATGTAATCTCAGCTGAGACTCAGAGATGGTAAAAATTTGCTTAAAGTAGCCTGTAATTCTAAAAGGCAGATCTTCTCGAAGAGTCATTCACATGGGAGTTATTCTTTGGGCTTCATATTAGTATTCTGAATATTTACTCATTTATTTAAGTTGATCTCCACAATAGGGGGTATTAATGGGTACCAGGGAAGGCCATACTATCCCAAAAGTTGATATAAGACTGTGTCTTAAATTTATTTGAGAGAAGGGCCATTGAGAATTCACTGAGTAAGCTTAAAAACAGCTAAGCTAACAGCAGTGTATTCAGTTATCTTTTTTTTTTTTTTTTTTTTTTTTTGAAACAAGAGACTGGTTGGAAGGGAAAGGGACTGGTGGAGAGTCAAGCTCTGACTCATGTTGAATTAATTAATCATTTTAGTTGAGCAATTATAATGTACTAACTTTACACAAGTTTTTTTTAAGTAGACTTTTTTTTTTTTAGGATTTATTTATTTATGTATACAGCACTGGGAGCACAGGCCAGAGGTGTAGGGGTGGGTAGTGAGAGGATTCACCACAGACTGAGTGGGGAGAACAGGCAGGTTGACAAAACACACTGCTGAGCTGTGGGTGAGACAGGAGAGGTCTGTGCAGGTGGATCACCTCCAGGGTGGGTATTCAGCTTTGCAGTGCTGTGCTTTAACCTGCTGCACCACCAGGGAGGGCCATACAAGTTTTTAAACAAGTTTTCAAATCACTTATTGACCACATCTTTTGGACAAAACTACACAGTAAGTACTCTAAGTGTGTTGTGCTTAGCTTTAAAGGTTAATGATGGTTAAGATGAAATAAAGAGAATCCGACAAATGTGACATTAAAGGACATTTTATTTACTGACAGATTAAAAACCACAACTCCAACTGTGCACAATGCACCACTGAACCCAATTACAAAGAACTGGTGTTAATACACAATGTTTAAGCAATGCTACACTTATTTTTGGCAAAGTGCTGTACTGTTTAGTTTGTGTATAAAACTGACCACCTATCAACCAATCAGTATAAAAATGTCTATAAAAACAGAAAAAAATTTAGACAGTGGCTCAAGAAAATAAGCTGCCATTTATGCATAGATTGATGTATAGTTTATAACTTAACCAAATGTCCCTTTTGAGTTTTCAAGTTGTTGAAAAAAAAGTGTGTCCAGAAAAAAACACATCAAGAAGGCACATAGTACAGTTTACAATATTCTTCAGTCTCTAAAACTGATGCCCTGCTTTTGAAAAATAAACATCTTCACAATTTTGAGAAAAAAGCGCCACTTTTTTTTTAAATAATACACACAATTATTGATTACAGTTCCAAACCTCTGTAAGACAACACAACCAAAAAGCAAGCAAAATCATTCACACCAAGCCTGGAAACACACACACACCTAACCTCCCCAAGCACTGGTTTGGTTTTTAGAAGTCCACCTAGGAAAAATTCCTAAAACTTCAGGCAAATACAGAACAAAATTGGGCATTTAACAGTCCCTCGATTTTTTTTTAAGATGCACTAAGGAAAGACAATATACAAAATTATGCACTTAAGCTGCCTTCCTTTCAATAGTAACTTCTCCCACATAAAGGGTACTCTTGCAAATGGGAAAAGACAGCCTTATCTGTAACATGCTTCCCAGTACCTCTTTCTCCACCCCAAACTACTTATAACTGGTGTCAAATTTCAAATGAAACTGGTACATGGCAAGAACTGACACCACTGTATCATGTAGGGTTGCTAAATAAAGCATTTTATATAAAATTTTATGCATTAAAATAAGTAGATAAGGATGCTATTTATAATACATCAACATGGCTGGTGGCGGTGAAACCGTCCATGAAAATTTCCCAACTTAAAAGAATTTAACTAATGCATATGGGCTTTATAAAACAAAAAAGATCATTTTAAGGTCATATTACAAACATTAATAGTATCTCCCAGTATAAGGAGCAGTCACTTAACGGATTCTAAAAACAATATTTGGAAATGCTTAAACTTTCTCTACTGATCTATTTAAATTTCAACGTCTATCTTCTAGTTGGAGTCCTTCATTTTTTTTTTTTGTAAGTTACTCAAAGAAAATGAAGATAAAGGATATTCTTTTGCTCCTTTTTCTTAGGAGTATATATAGACAATGTATTCCCTTGAGGAGAAGGGGAAATAGCAAAGACACTCAGATTCAATGAAACACAAAGATTATAAGCCAGTGTAATATACAGAGTTGAGCAGGAAAAACAGTAAATGATGCTGAAGAGCTCTCTCAAGTTTTAAATAAACTAGCTTCTCACTAGAACGAAAGTTCTGATACAACAGAGAAGGTATATAAAATGGAAAATTTTTCATAGGAATCAGAAAAATGTTCAGGAAGTTTTTTCAAAAAAAAAAAAAAACCCCTATCTGGGGTAGAAAGTCAAAAAACTATGGGGTAGAAAGTCAAAAAACTAATCATTTTGTATCTTCTGCAAAAAGTTCCCCATTCAACCAACCAAATAAATGCATTGCCACAGAAGATAAATAATAGATGGTTAATCTTCATTTTACAGTGCAGTACATAGTTCAATTAGTTGAGGAAGTAAAAGTAATAAACATAGGCTCTACATTACAAAATGTTTTATTAACAAAAACACAAATTTTGAGAAACATGGTGCATTAAAAAACTAAAACTCGTTCACAAAGCACTGCTTCTCTGCACCACATATTCCGGACTTTTTCCACCTAGCATTTTACATTATCATTCAGAAACAGAACACTAACTTCACTGCTTGAGTTTTTAAGGAATATACACAAAAGCACACACTGTAAACCACTCATATTTACAACAGTAAAAATAATAATTAACTCATAGTAAAATGCATTTGGCTATGTTTGAAAGAATACTTAACAGGTCAACATCATTCTGCCTTATTAATGGTCTTGTGTCTTGTACACAGTAGAAGCTTATTGACCAAAAACTTCAACTGAATTTTGCTACCACTGGCTTCAATTCTTACATGTGCCCATGTGCCCATTTCAGTTAGGAATCTTAAGATACTGACATAGAAACCACAGTATGAGATCACAGATGATCTTATCCTGAAGAAACATCCCAGAGACTGACAAAACTTGTTTATTAGGTATAAAGCATAAAAATCTAGGCCCAGAGAAGGCAAAAGGGCAATAGCTGATAGAGATGTAAATATATTTAAGGCATTAGGAAATCTGAAAAAATAGTACTAAAAAAAAGACCACTGCAGTTTTATATACAGTTTTGCTCATGTTGCCCAACAACTTCTAATGGCTGAACTTACGTAGCTCATGAGGTACTAACAACCTGCATGAAATATATGAACAAAAAGAGAGACCCCAGGTCTTTAGGGGCTTACATCTAGAAAACTTCTAGCTGGGTAATTTTCAAGTTACCTATGCATGGCCCTGTATCAGACTGGTGTGAGACACACCTTCACAAGAACACTACCTCATCTCCCCACTCCAGTAAACACAATAGTAACAAAATAACTTCGAGCTCAGTTTGATAAAACTTTACAGACTTGGCCCCTAATTAGAAAACAAATAAATAAAAGGGTAGATGAAATGAAAGGGGTATAAAGGGAAAAGGGGGAATCTCGACTGGTACTAAATAGACCTTCCTGGCACTTCATTGTGGCCAGTGGAAGAACCTAACGCCACCACCCAATTATGCTATTTGACCTCTTCTCATTCTAAACATGCCAGTCTAGTCAGAAAAGAGCACAGCTCTTTACTTAAAAAAAAAAAAAAAAAAAAAGTCTCCCATGGTTCCCTGCATCAGGCTGCTGCAGGGTTATTGAAGAATATGCTACTACTTCACATAACATATGCTGCTTTTCCCTTGAAGACATTTTATAGACATGTCATTAATTGGGATTGCAGAGGAGATGGAAAAGAACTTTTATTATGAAGTTGATACTACTGTTCTATCAGTAGGTGTTGTTTTAAATTGTAAATGTATTTAACTTAATTTCAGAGGAAATGGGTGGGAGAGTGGATGGCTCAGCAAAACCCATCACAACTACTAGAAAATAAAGTGACTGGCTAGAGGTAAGGCATAGATTTTGTGTGTCAAGTTAACTGGCCTCTGTATGAACGGAAACCTGCACCCGGGCCTCATTAGCACCAACACTTGGAAGAACAACTATGGTAGAAAAAATGCTACAGGCCCCCCGCATCACTGGATTCATAAAGATAAGTCCTTAGAATTTCACATAAGGTACAGCCCCACTTCAAATGCACAATCCTCAGCAAACTGCAAAGGAGGTAAATATTACTACTCCCCTGTCAGTAGAGGAAACAGAGGCCAAAGTGGTTAAAGATTCACATGAAAGAAGCCCAATTTAAAACAAAAAAAAAAAAAAAGAAAATCAAGGGAGCCAACTTGTCACTCTTTATTTAGATGCTATGAAACAACATCACCAGAAATTCTTCCTCACTCTTGCTTGCTGCCACTCCACAGGAGTGGCTCCGTGGCAGAGGATTTATCACTGTTATCAGAAATACAAAGCCTATCTCCTTCCCCTTGGGCAGACATAAATAAATCATCAAGTGCCTGGACAAGTACTTCTGAATTAGCCACTGATACAAAGTGATGAGTGGGCAGAGCTGGCAGGAAAGAATCCTGATGACTTAAATAGTGGACTAATGGGTTAGTTATAGACACACATTTTTCCAAGTACAATTTCACAGGTCTAATTTCATCCCTCTGCATGTGGGGCAGGTGCCGCCCCCTAATAGCTGTGATGTTTGCACATCGCACAGTCACATCAGAAACCTAAATGCACTGTTCACTAAAACTTAATGTACCTGAATTCCAAAATGAACTACATGACTAATCTGGAAAAAAACAAAACAAAACAAACACACACAGAAATATATCAAGTTTTCTTTCAAAGGAAAGTTCAGCCATAATTCCATTATATCCATGGCAACTATCACCATTAATGCTCATGTTAGTGTGTAAAATGTGTTCGTAATATACAGAAAAGATTATCAAGTACTGGTCAATAAAGTGTATGGCTGACCCTGAGAATAAATTTGTTTCTTATTCAAAAGACTGACTAAGTAATACAAAATAAAATGAAACTGAAAGATGCCTATTCTTGTACATGGGAAGAACTGTCTTTAAAATGCTGACTAACTCATATACACATGGATTTAAAGACATCCCCAGATACCAAACACTGTAACTGTATTGATATGTTTCCAAAAATATTCTGAAAAAATTTACAGAGAAGTATGTTATGAGCAAGGCATTATGTGATATACAGCATGTAAATCTGGTTTTTAAGATAGTGTCTACACAAATATAACAATGTGATTGGTCATCAATTGGCTTTAAGGAGACAACATCTTCATTGTCCACACACACATATCCATACACATGCACATACCAAGAGAAGCCAACCAGCCAAACTTGAAATTCTTAGTAATTGTACTGACGGGGGCAGGGCTGATGGACAGCCCAGCCATTGTGCTTAACTTGCCGAGAGTGGCAATCCCTGGTGAGATTTTGGCGACGCAGGCTATTTCTGTTCAGAGACTGTCTTTCACTATGTTCTTTTATCCACTGGGAAGGTCGAAAGCTCTTGGGTTGTTCCAGAAAAGTTGCATGAGTAGCAAGAGCTGCAACGTAGCAATGAATGTGCTGGTCCATTTCATTTTGAGCTTCTACTCTGAAACAGAAAAAAGTGGGGATGTATTATATAACAGTGCATGTTATTACTGAAATCAAAAAAGCTACTGAGTGCCACATTCATGTGTTCATGGCTGAATGAGAGCTCATTGTCTTGTAGCTGGCAGACACTAAGCTGACTGAGAGCAGGGGAAAGGAGGAGACAAGTTTGAATGGAAATAAACCATTTAATCCACAAGTGGCTAATTAAGTAGAGTTCTAAAAAATGCTTTCCATTTTTTCTACTGGGTTAGAGCACAGCACTATGAGGCTGTTATAACCACTGCAGCATGAGTTTAATCCCCAGCCCTGGAGGTGACCCACATGGCACAGCAGACCTCTCGTGACTTGCCCACTGCTCCCCTCAGAAGTGTATTTCAGTCAATCTGCCTGCTCTGCTCCCTATTCTGTCTCTGGTGAATCCTCTCATCTCTGGCCTGTACCCCAGTTCTATGTGTATAAACAAATCTTAAAAAAAAAAAAAAGAAGGCCCTCCTTGGTGGCGCAGTGGGTTAAAGCACGGCACTGAGAATCTAAAGCCACTTCCCCATGAGTTCGATTCCTGCCTGCCCCGGAGGTGACCACATGGCTGGCAGTCCTCTCCTGACCCGCCCGCTGCTCCCCTCAGCAGTGTACTTTGTCAATCTGCCTGTTCTGTTCCCCGCTCTGTCTCGGGTGAAGCCTCTCACCGCCCCTGAGCCTCTGGTCTGTACCCCAGTTCTGTATGCACAAATAAAAATATATCTTTAAAAAAAAAAGTGAAAATAAAAGCAGTGGTTTTTAAAAGGTGAATGCTTTAAGCCCTTATCCTCCTTGCTTAGCTTGGTAATACATATCACACAGTCTAAAGGGAAAATACTTACTCTGTGCCAGTGAGTCTGATAAGCAGCTTTTCCTGGCCCTACAAATGTTAAATGGTGAACTATTAAATCTCTAATAAGATTTAAAGTGCTATTTAACTTTACAGTTAGGATGTGCTCTACTTTTCCATATTAAAATTGGTTTACTATGGGTCATTAAAAGCACCAATCATTTAATTTAGGATTATGATGGCACATTAATTTTCACAAACTATTTATAAATGCTAAAATGCAATAGGACTCAAATGGTGAGTACATTATAAAGCACCTTATTTTAATATTTCATGGTAATATCCCTAAAGCTTATAATCAAAATTTTAAAGACATGATTTACTTTCTGCTCAGAAAATATAACTACAACACAGCCATTCTTCTAATTTGATAACACCTGATTTTGATATTGATTTAGTGGATTTTTCTTATAAAAATTTCAACTCTAAAAATAAGGTTACCAAAAAATATTTAATTCTAAAACCAATACTTTCCTATGTTTGTATAAAATATGTTACTTTTACCTTTTGTAATTGGAAAAGTACCTATTTGCTAACTATCCTGTTACATTAAAACTTATAACACAGGCCCTCCCTGGTGGCACAATGGTAAGGACGCAGCACTGCAAACTAGCCACAGCCACTTCAGTGTGAGTTTGACCCCAGCCCTGGAGGTGATCCACAGGGTGCCGCAGACCTCACCTGACCCCCGTGCCCCCCTCAGCAGTGTACTTCATCAATCTGCCTGTTCTGCTCCCCTTGCTGTCTGTGTTGAATTCTCTCACCACCCCTATATCTCTGGCCTGTACCCCAGTTCTGTATGCTTAAATAAATCTTAAAAAAAAAAAAGATCTTAAAAGAAAAACATATAACACTATACAAAAGTAAACAAGATAGAAAAAAATGAACATTCTGACTGTGTCAAAACTGCAAATTTATAGCCAGATGCAATGCTTAGTCCAGGGCTAGATAGTGGTTTGGACAAACTACATGAAATATTCTGGGCTTTAGTGGGTAAATCTGAGTATGGTTTGGGTAGTATATGAATGAAATATTATTGAAAAAACAAAGATGGAAATCAGTGCCTAAAGAAGCTGGGTTATAAAACTATATATATATATATATACTGATCCCCTTTAGGTTAAAAATATGTGTGTGCGCACAAACAGAAAAATATAATCAAGGATATGCCATCTGGGTGGCGAGAATTTTTGTGTTTTGCATTTTCTGCAGTGCATATGAATGCATATGTATTGCTTCTGTAATAACAGCAAGCTATTTATAAAGTTGCCGAATATATATGTGCACACATATGTAGCAACACACACATACTTTAAAAACTGGAAAGTAAATATGCAAGTACCAGTAAGTTTAAAATGATTATTAACATGCTGATTATTGAGTGGAATTTCTCAGAGGCAAGATTAGAATCAAGTAGCAAGATTTTTTAAAAACTAAGGAAACTAATCTGAATCAATTATAAAGCAATTTAAATCCATACCACCCCCACAAAATCATACTTGTAATATATATGTTTTTTTATGCCTGGACCACTGATCTCTTGATAAACAGATTATTGAATAAAAGTGCCAGCTAAAGTACCACTTCCCATCAAGGACTGCACAATATAAAGTCTGGGTGGAAATGTGAACAAATTATTTTCAGTTTGGTAGAAGCATATGTTTATGCTCGCACAAGATCATCATATTGAGATTTGAGAGCACAGCAAACTCCGGTAAAGTTAACAAATTAATGAGCTGCCTGGACTTTGTTTATATTTGGTGAACAGGAAATAGTAGAAGATATGTACAACAGTCCAGTTAATAAAATCTAAAAAGAGGCCCTTTGGATGACAGCACTAACTACAGGAATATTCTGAATTGCTTCAAAGAATCCAATTCACCTGTACCCTTGACCTAAGAGATGAAATTCAGTTAGTTCTAGTATCCCCAAAAGTAACACAATGGGGAACATTTCACTAACAAACTCAGACAAATACCTGGACTTTGACCTAATTAACACAGCCCTGGGCTTTACTTTAGTGGTGTTCCAATGTTGAATATCCTGGGTAAAGGCCACAGCATACCTCTGGTTTGCTTTGGAACACAGCAGTTTCTACTACCAGACACCCTCCCTAAAACTTTCCTGGTCTTCAATCTATTTGCCATTCAAACAGACCACTTGGAAGTCCCATTTAACAAGAAAACATGGTGAAATCTTTGTATCTGCAGTGCAGAAAACAACTCTTTGAGCAAATGTTTTGATAAACAGTTTATTTCATGCTTAGTATTTCTTAGGGTTTCAAAGTTAAATGCCATTTGACGTGACCTCGCTGGAACTAAGAAGAAAATAAGGATTTTAAGATATAATATTCTTGTCACGTTTGATACCACAAATTATTCAGAGTCACTATAGGGCCAGAGTTATAATCTAAGACACTTAGCAGAGATGCCAGTCTTTCTTCCCTATTCAACAGCTGAGTATTATAAACAAGATAGCATTCCACTATATAACTGGGGCTGTGCTACAAGTTCTTTTGAAATTTAAACTGAACCAGTTTGTTCATACCATCAACCACCTTGTGCACATTTTTATATATCTCCAACAAGATTATGTTGCAGCTTCTGAAATTTTAGCTCTAAATAGCTCTAAATAAACAAAATGCATGCTAAATACTGTCTGTGAGGAGAATAAAATATTCACAACATACCTGGGACTACTTGGGTCATGAAATTCATCAGTCCCACAGGTGGCCTCACTGAGACCAGGGCAGGAGTTACGCACAGCATACACAGACATGCTGGGATGTTCGATGAGAAGGTTTTCCATAGGACTGGTTTCTACCTTGATAGTGGTTAATTCACCTGCAGTAAAACATGGGGGAGGGGTGATAAACCAGCTCTCCTCCATCGGACAGGACTCAAACTGGAGGAAGCAGGAATCACTTGTATCAGCCAAGCACTCAAGAGAGGCTGGTAAACAGGAAAAGACTGCAGGGTGTTCAGTCGGTGACTCTTCGCTAATATCTTCTTCCTCATCATGTGCTGAAAAACCAGTGCAAGTGTCTAAGCAGAGTCCAAATGCACAGTTGGAGTCCCACCGGAGTATTAGTATCACGTCGAATTTCAGTTCAGAGGACAGAAAGAGAAAAGATGATATGATTAGCTTATGCTCATATCCCTCCAGTATTTAGGTGAAAAACAAAACCATATGAATTCACTAAGAAGGATGGTCTAATCATTTCTGAGGAGGGGGGAGAGAGAGGAGAGTGAGTGCGAGTGTGTGTGTGTGTGTGTGTGTGTGTGTGGTGTATTGCTGGTACTGCTGTTTGGGAGGGATTTTGTTTCTATTCTGATGACTAAATATGCAATGAGCCATCTGGGTTACTGCTTGTCTAAAATGAGGGTTTCCTTTTGGAGCGCCTCTGATTTGATCAGGGTGCAAGAGTTGCAAAACTGGAAAGTCTGATGTCAATCAATATCACTGACTGATCATCTGACATAAGATGTTTCCTGCAATTTTTTTTTTAGACAAACTCTTGTTTATTTACATTCAAGGTTTAAAAACCAGTTACTGGCTTACTTCTGCAAAAACTAAGATGCAAGTGTTCCCACTTTTCTCTATGAAGGTAAGCTTGGAAAATACCTTACCTATAAAGTCAACAAGAATCCATTCATCATCTTCTTTCTCACTAAATTCTGGTTCTTGGTTGGAAGAAGTACTGACTTCACCCACAAACATTTTATTCAGTTTCCGGAACATTGTTAAGGCAAGATTGAGACTTTGGCTGGATGTCTGTATAGCTGAGATTTTAAAGCCCTGTCTTCTGCCTGCCTGATGGCACTGACAGGGGGTTAAAGTGCACTGGGTGTTTATTCAGCATAGGCAAGAAGCAGGAAGAATCATTATTCCTAAAATAAAACAGAATTAGGTTTTGTTAGATCACTTTGCATTTATTCATACCACACTTACACCACACATCACATATGTGTGTTGTTTTAAAATGACATAGGCACACACACCTGCATGCACCCTAGGAGAAAGCACACACCTTAGCCAACATCCCACAGCAGTCTGCTTCCTACAGGAGTCAAAGCACAAAAAAAGTAGCATTTCCTATTTATAAAACATTAGGAACTGAGTACTCAATGTAACCTGTAGCTATCTTAAAATGTGAAGCAAAAACCGGTTGGTTCTTTTTTTTACATCTGTGCTTTTATAATAACAGATAAACTTGAACAATGCATTTCAAACACAATACTGCTTTTTTGTACATTGAGGAACAAAAACTAGATTTTATGGTCTTGCTAGATGCTATTCAACAGTCTAGAAGCTGCCACGTGAATCCATCAATACTATTTGCTGACTACTATTATGCCAGACAAATCCATCTTCTTTCTGGCTGATTTTCTCTTCTGCTCTATACTTCTTTATATGCCTGGAAGCCTGCCTACTCACATTTAAAATATATCATATAGGGGGGCCTCCCTGGTGGCATAGGGTTTAAATCTCAGTGCTACCATGTTATCACCACTGCTGCCTGAGTTAGATCTGGCTAGGGAGCAGCAGACCTCTCTGTCTCCTCCCCTCAGTAGGGTGTTTCAGTGGATCCCCCTGTTCTGCTCCCCACTGTGTCTCTGGTGAATCCTCTCACTCCCTGGATCTGGGGAAATGGTGGGACCCTACGATGGACTAGAATAGTGAAGAAGATGAGGACTGGTTGCTTTGAACATGTTAAACCAGGAAAGTCTTAAGTCATGCACCAGGAGATGTCAGGTAGGCAGCTGAACATAGGTTTCTGGACTACAGGATCATTGTCTCAGCAGGGGTGCTAGCAACATGAAGAGTTGACAGAAACCATAACAATGGATGTGATTAGCCAGGGGTAATAAAAAACACCTTACACAAGGCTTTCTCTCACAAGCCTTGAACTGATAATTTCAGACTCTTGATAGCTCACTTTCAAAATAATCATCTTTTGTTGTGAAAGTAATTAGAATCTGTAGCTGATCAGACTCCTGGCTCAACTCCCCATGTGCAAATCATATTGCTACTTACAATTGTCTGGTTTGCTGCTATGGGAGTATAACATTGCCAATAAATGACATAGGAACACTTGTGGTCACAATCTGTCATCCTCAGCCATTAATTATTAAAAGCGGGTAAACAGGATGTGTCACTTGCACAACCAGTCTTCCTGAAACCCTTCTGGAAAGCAACATGGTCAAATCATGAAGGCTGAATTCTAGTAAATGAATTCAAATTCATTTAATATTTTATATAAGAGAAACAGAAGAAAAGCAGGCTATCTAGTTAGCTTGACCTACTGTGGTCTGACAATTACATGGAAAAAGATAAGCTATCATAAGGTCTGATGTAAATGAAGGTTTTGTGCAATAAGCTAAGATGGGAAAATGGGTATTTTCAGAATCTTTTCTCTATTTCTCTTAAATTATGGAAGTAGATATTGGCCCCAAGTACAAGTCTGTGTTTGTGAAACCAATTAAAAGAATAACCCCCATTTTCCAGAGAGCAGGGACAGGCTCAGGAGTTGTCTAGGAAGCCAGAGCTGATGGGTAAGGAGGGGAAGCGCCCTGCGGGTGAACCTACACTCATCCTGCATGGAAACCCTGCCCCCTGACTGGTGCGGTACGGTGGTGGGACCCAGGCCTGTTAAGTGGCAGCTACAAGGCAGCAGACACTGCAGTGGGCTCAGCTGTACCTTCCCCGTCATAAGCTGCCTCTGACTGTAGCTTCAAGTTCAATTTATGCCTGGAACACACAACTCTGCCATAGGAAAGGTATCTCCTGAGCAGTTGTTCTCCAAGAAGTGGGACAAGTCATCCTCTTTTGCTTTCTCACACCTGTATAGGGCACCAGCATGTCACCTGTATGGGGCACCAGCAAAGTGCTCAGGCAGGCCAAAGAAACAGGCATCCTAGTCACTTCCAGGGTCTGTAGGACACACCTGCTGAAGCCCCGGGAAAGCAGCAGAATGGAGTATAGGGAAGGGTGAAAGGAGTGTGGGTCTGGGCACCAGCAGGAAAGGCTTTGGCTCTATAACCACCACGAGCAGCTGGAGCCACAGTTCAGGCCCTCTGAGCCTCCGTCTTTCCATTGGGAGAAATGAAGAGCCTGTGTTGGATGACCTCTTCATTTGCACCACAGACTTCTAGCATGATGAAGAAGGTGCTCAAATTATGCATCATTCCTGTGACCCTGTTTTCTGTAGGGCGGAGGACAAGGGGCTGTTTAAGAGGCACTCCAAATATGATTAACTGTTTAGTGAAGCAGCTGCTGCCATATGTACTAGGTAAATGAACACCTGAAATGTGACTGGCGTATGAACTTTTCATTGTGTTTAACAAATTTCAAATTGAAAAGTTAGAAATGAGCCAATTTTGGGAAAAACTTAGATCTGTTTCTAACAACTAAGCAAGAATTGTCAATAAAACTTTACTAAACATATTTCAAAGATTTGGTACCCCAAAAAGAATGCAAAAGATTTCAGTACTTTTTATATCCATCACAAGCTGAAATAATAATTTTGGATAAATTAAGTTATAGAATGTTATTAAAATTAATTTCCTGTTGTTTTTTTTCCTTTTCAAATCAGATTATAAGAAAATTCAACCATATGTAGAGCTCACAAGTGTTATTTCTACCGGACAATGCTGTTCCAGAAAAATCACTCCAAAGCTACCCTGGTGGCACAGGGGTTAAGGACACAGAGCTGTGCCAGGCTACTGCCAGCCACTATTCCTGGAGTTCAATCCTAGGCTGCCCAAGGAGCTGACACACATGGCGCAGCAGATCTTTCCTGTCTCACTGTTGTTCCCCTCAGCAGTGTACTTCGTCAATCGGCCTGTTCTGCTCCCCACTCTGTCTCTGGTGAATCCTCTCATCCTGTCCCTGCACCTCTGACCTGTACCCCAGTTCTTATATGCATAAATACATCTTTAAAAAAAAAAAACAGAAAAATCTTAATGGCCTATCTTCTCACTGATAACCCGGGACTGTCACTATCCAGCCATCCACAGCTACTCTTGACCTTGGTGGCCAGCCAGGAATGGAGGTTCTCCATGTGGATAGTTCTATGTAAAGCAGAAAACTCAAAAACTTCACTCCTCAGTATATATGACTGTTTTTTGAGTATTGACCACTTAAGAAGCCTCTATAATGTGCTAAAAGGAGAATTTACAAATGCAACCTGAAACTTAGCCAAGGTAGAGGTAAAAGAGGTTAGGTGGGGCAGAGGCTGTTCTTTGAGGCACCTGCAAGGTTTCAGGTACCCAAGCTCAGCCAGGCACTCTCACCCAGTGAGAAAAGAGTCACCAGGGCAGTTTTGTCCTTGTTCTGTTTGGTTCCCTTTAAAAAGTCTTTTTCGGCCCTCCCTGGTGGCGCAGCAAGTTAAAGCACAGCACAAAGAAGCTTAAGCCACTTCCGCATGAGTTCCATCCCGCCTGAGCTCCACATGGTGAGGCAGACCTCTCCTGACCCGCCCGCTGCTCCCTCCCCTCAGCAGTGTACTTCGTTGATCTGCCTGTTCTGTACCCCACTCTGTCTCTGGTGAATCCTCTCACCCTCTGCATCTCTGGCCTGTACCCCAGTTCTGTACGAATAAATAAATAAACCTTTAAAAAAAAAAAGTCTTTTTCACTGGAAAGTGAACAAAACTATGGTATAGAAAATTTAGAAGTTATTATTCCATGATTACAACTATTATTGCAATCCTTGTTAGTACACTGCTTTTTTCCAACATATAATGTTTCTTTTTATCTTAATTGTGGTCTACTGAATACACCATTTTGTGTCCTGTTTTGTTACTTAACTCTTTTTCATCAATGTTTTTCATATTATTGAACTTAGGAATGGTACTGTTTGGAAGATCCTGTTAGTAGAATTTACTTTCTCATTTTTGAGACAGGCAGCCAACTAACCAACAGGTAGTGTGGCTCTGGAGTTGGTCTGTGTTGTGTGAAATTTCTAGGTTTCACTACTGGCAACTTGTGTGAACTTAACTAGTAACTTCTTGGTGCTGCTGTGTGTGTTTGTGTGTGTGTGTGTTTAAAGATTTACTGATGCATGCAGAACTGGGTACAAACCAAAGGTGTGGGGGGTGGTGAGAGGATTCAACAGAGACATAGTGGGGAGCAGGACAGATTGAAATACACTGCTGAGGGGAGCAGCGGGCGGGTCACATGCTTGCCATGAGAGTCACCTCCCTGGCTGGGGATTGAACTCATGCTGCAGTGACTGCAATAGCTTATAGTGTTATGCTTTAACCCACTGCACCACCAAGGAGAGGCCAGTGCTGCTGTGTTCTTAAAATGAGGATGACTATGCCTGACACATAGTAGGGATCCAATATATGTGAACTGAGAATATTAACTAAAACTTGGAATATTAAAGTTCAAAATCATTTGTGTGACTGTGAATAAGGCACTTAGCATCTTGAGGTCTGGGCATCTTCTCTATAAAATGTTTATGCAATAACTGCAGCCACAATTTACTGAATGCTTACTGTATGTACTTATAGGTCCCCTTTTACTGATAAGGAAACAGACTCAGAAATTAAATAAGTGACTCAAAAGTGGCGAGTGGTCAGGGGTGGGGCCAGCACTGCTTTTCCCTGCACATGATCTCTCAGCTTCTCTAAGGCACATGATCTCCAGCTTCAGCCCTGGCTCTGAGAATTTCAGAGACTAGCACGTTTCAGTTAGTTTTGGCTGCCAGTAGGCGGCTCCAAAAACAACATTTTTAAATTAAACAAAACAAAACAACCCATAACTCTGGTGATCTAACTTCTAACTGTGTACAGTTGTGGCTTCTTGACAGTTTCGAAACATCAGGTGGTTAAACTAACACATCTCTGTTGAAAAGAGGCCTCAAATTTTCTT